TACTTACGCACAATCTACTTGCAATCTTGAGTTTTAAGTAATATGTATTAATAAACAGTACTTTACGCATAAAAAATGGTTTTTAAGAGTTTTTGTCAAATGCTTTATAATATAGTATAGATAGATACGATCTTGAAGGACCCTCTGACATCTTTTAAAAAAATCATATCACAATATCTTACATCAGCTAGATACGAACCATCAAATTACCGTGTTTTACATATTAAAGGGGTGTCTGGGATTGCTTATTTGAATCAACTTATGCTTTTCTACAAAAACACTTATCTATACTATATTATTAAGCAAATTTAGCAAAAGTCTTAAAGTCTTAAAATATTAAATGACCAAGATACTCTTTTTACTTTTTTACTTTTTCAACCCTTCCTCTCCTCACATACACTCACCCTCTCACATTCAACCAATTTTTTAAATTATAATTTTAAATTTACATTTTATATCCCTATAATTAGTTAATTAATTACTTTACGTCCTTTACTTTTAAATGTTTCATTTTAAACCTTTATCAAATTAACATACATAATCGTATATCAATTAAAACATGTTTAAAAAATACATTTTTATTTTAACAAGTTACACCATTATAATCGTCTCGCTAATACCTTCAAAATGAGTCCAATATTGAATAGTTTTTGACTTAATTATATTATTATATATTATATATACTATGAAAAAATATTTTTAATGTTTACGGTTTATACTTTTATAGTTATTTATTTATATATATGTTATACATTTTGGGGTTAAGCTGTTCAAATTGCACTGTATAATATGTTCTGAATTAATATGTTCTTGGGTTTTTTTGAAATATATATATATATATATATATATACATGTATTAATTCAACCTTAATCTGAGTTTCTGGACAAAAAAAAGAGTAAGCAGTTGAAATTTCATTCTAAAACCCATCTTTTTTGGTCTTTTCATCGCTTATGATCTGTCAAATTTGTAGTTTTCTTTATTGGCTTTGAGTGTTTATCTTAAAACTCAAGTTTCTTGGTTCTTTGCTCTTGGTGTAAATCAAACACATTTGTGGAGTCGTTTAAATAAGTTGGATTTTAAATATAGTGGATTTTAAACTGTCATACAATTTTTTTCATCGATAGTCTGTAATCGGAACCATAACTCTTATTTATTCAAATTGAATTAATATGTAAAGACCAAGTGTAACTTATATCATCGTTAAATCTTATCTTATAAAACTAATGGAACTTCAAAATCATTAAAATTCATGGCTCCTGCCGCATTGTCCGGGTACACAACTAGTTAACTTATTATAAGTCAGAAGGGTCTATAACTTCTTTAAAAACTGCTTATTACCGGTTTGACATCGGTATAAATTGTTTATTCAAACACTCAAAAATACTTATTACCTGTATCATACGAAAATAAGTCAATAAATTATTTTTACAAACAATCCCTCCGTTTTACATATTAAGAATTAGAAGTCGCGTGGATTGAGCCGCAAGTTATTTAGGTTACAAATATGGAAAAAAAATAAATGGCCGCCATTGGTTAGCATTTTGGCAGTTTCCGACCAACAGCGACCTCCATTTCTTTAATCGTTTCAAAAACCAGGTATTTCAACCTTCGTCATACCAGCTACGCGTACAAAACCCTCTATATAAACACTCATTACTTCCCCCATAATCACACATTTCATTCATCTTCCAAAACCCACTCTTTCCATTCGTTAAAAACAACCCTAATTCTTCACATACTTACTGTGTGTTTTAAGTGTTTAAGTGTTTTACTGGTTCTGTTCTTGTTCTTGTTTTGCTGCTGCGATATCATCTGGTTTACTGTGTTTTCTTGTTCTTGTTGCTGCGATCATGGCCGACAAATCAGTTTGCGAGACTGTCGCCGTTGTGAAGGTGGAGGCTGAGGAAGACTGTAACGAGGCGGTGGTTTTGGTCGAAGTAGACCGTAAAGTTTATGTCTCTGAGACGGAAAAGAAGCCGGAGTGCAAAGAAGAGAAGAAGGAAAGCGATTGTAGTCATGTAAGTTTCCTTTTTCCATTTCAGGAAAACAAAAGCAGCGCGTACATGGTTGGGTTCAAGTGAGATCAGTATGTTTTTCCATTTCAAGAAAACAAAAGCACATATATGAAGGTTAAAAAACATAGAGAGCCTTTACAAGAAAAATACTGTAAACGTACAAAAACAAACCTTCACGGTGCTTTTTTCTGTATGCTCACAATGTTTTGCTGTGAAAATTCACTGTAATTTTGTCGTTGTTTGAGTCTCATGAAAGCAGGTTGATCTTATCTCATATATATGCAAATAATTAAGAAAAGTACAAGTATGAATGCATAAAGTACAACCTTGAAGATGAATATATCAAGAAAGTTTATTGAATATATAAGGATAAAAGAATTATAGAAGCATGCATGCGTAAGTAAATCACATATTCATCATGTTTACTCGGTGTTTGGGATTGTTTATAAAAACAACTTATTGACTTATTCCGGTGTAACATCGGTATTAAATACTTTTGAGTGTTTGAATAAACAACTTATACCGGTGCCAAACCGGTAATAAGTAGTTTTTGAAGAAGTTAAACTCTTCTGACTTGTAATAAGTTAATAAATGCTTTAGTTGTTTCAAAAAAGCAATCCCAAACACCCCTTTATAAATGATTAATAATCAAGGCAAATCATGCTTTAAGAACTTGTACTTTATGCATATTTTAGTTGTACATTTATAAAACAAAATTGATATGGCAAGAAGTGCCAAAAGATCGCACAAGAAAGTAAAATTGTGTGAAAACTTTCATCTAAGAAATAAAGTATTACAAAATTAGTTTTTTTGTCTTGATTTTCAAGAAAATCTTGCATAAAGTTGCAAGGTTTTAGATTGATACAACCTTATCTTAGATCATGATATTTAAGGGTTTATACTAGATTGTGTTTGTCTCGTACATGGTTTTTTTTCATTTGGATCTCAACTTACAAAAATCGTTCATTTTTGCGAAATTTGCAGTCTGGCGACGATTGTGTAGATGGGAAAACCAAGAAAGCCGAATTGAAGGAGAAGATAGAAGAGGAGAAGGAGAAAATTGGGGATAAAATACACGAGGCCAAGTACAAAGTAGAAGAGAAAGCAGAAGAACTCAAAGAAAAGATCGAGTGTGATGTGGAAGAGGCCAAAGAAAAGATCAGGGAAAAAGAATACGAGCACGAGTACAAAAAAGAAGAACACAAGGAAAAACTCAAGGAGGAAGTAGAGGAGGCCAAATACAAGATAGAAGAGTTCAAGGAGAAGGTTGAGACCAAAGAGGGAGAGATTAAAGAGAAAATTGAGGAGAAAATAGAAGAATTCAAGGAAGAGATTGAAGAAATAGTGGCCGAGGCGAAGCACAAGAAAGAAGAACTCAAGGAGAAGATCGAGTGTGAAATAGAAGAAGCAAAAGAAAAAATCAAGGAAAAGGAAATAGAACACGAGTACAAAAAGGAAGAACGCAAGGAAAAACTGAAGGGAGAAGTAGATGAGGCCAAGTACAAAATCGAAGAACTCGAGAAGAAGGTTGAATGTATAGAGGAGGAAGTTAAGGAGAAAATCGAGGAGAAAATCGAAGAATTCAAGGAAAAGATTGAGAAGAAAGTGGAGGAGGTCAAGTATGAAAAGGAAGAACTGAAGGAGAAGATCGAGTGTGAAATAGAAGAGGCCAAAGAGAAGATCAAGGAAAAAGAATACGAACACGAGTACAAAAAGGAAGAACACAAGGAGAAACTGAAGGAGGAAGTAGAGGAGGCCAAGTACAAAATAGATGAAGTCAAGGAGAAGATCGAGTGTAAAGAAGAAGAGGTTAAAGAGAAGATCGAGGAGAAAATAGAAGAAATCAAGGAAAAGATTGAGGAAAAAGTGGAGGAGGCCAAGTACGAAAAAGAAGAACTCAAGGAGAAGATCGAGAGTGAAATAGAAGAGGCAAAAAAAGAGATCAAGGAAAGGGAATACGAGCACGAGTACAAAAAGGAAGAACACAAGGAAAAGCTCAAGGAGGAAGTAGAGGAGGCCAAGTACAAGATTGAAGAATTTAAGGAGAATGTCGAGTATAAAGTGGAAGAGGTTAAAGAGAAGATCGAGGAGAAAATAGAAGAATTCAAGGAAAAGATTGAGGAAATAGTGGCTGAGGGCAAGCACAAGAAAGAAGAACTCAAGGAGAAGATTAAGTGTGAAATTGAAGAGGCCAAAGAGAAAATCAAGGAAAAAGAATACGAGCATGAGTACAAAAAGGAAGAACACAAGGAAAAACGCAAGGAAGAAGTAGAGGTGGTCAAACACAAAATTGAAGAACTCAAGGAGAAGGTCGAGTGTATAGAAGAAGAAATTAAAGAAAAAGTTGAGGAAAAGATAAAAGAATTCAAGGAAAAGGTTGAGGAAAAAGTGGAGGAGGTCAAGTACGAAAAAGAAGAACTCAAGGAGAAGATCGAGTGTGAAATAGAAGCGGCCAAAGAGAAAATCAAGGAAAGGGAATACGAGCATGAGCACAAAAAGGAAGAGCGCAAGGAAAAACACAAAGAAGAAGTAGAGGAGGCCAAACACAAAATCGAAGAACTCAAGGAGAAGGTCGAGTGTAAAGAGGAGGAGGTTAAAGAGAAAATCGAGGAGAAAATAGAAGAACTCAAAGAAAAGATCGAGTGTGAAGAAGAAGAGATCAAAGAGAAGATCAAGGAGAAAGAGTACGAGCACGAGCACAAAAAGGAAGAGCGCAAGGAAAAACACAGAGAAGAGATAGCGGAAGCCAAGCACAAAATAGAAGAACTCAAGGAGAAGGT